GGCGGGCGGTGGCCTGGGCCGGGCTGGCCCGCCTGCTGCGGCTCCGCGAGGGGTGGCTTCTCCTCGGGCTGAGATGCGGGAGGCCACCCCGTCGCGGGGAGGTCCCGTCTGGGTGCGCGGGCTGCGCGGCTTTGGAACCCAAGGCTTCTGGGTGCCGCCCCAAGCGGTCGGGAAAAGAACGCTGCGCAAACGCGGTTGAACGGCCCCGCAAGTCCTGAAAGTAGCTTACTCTTGCTGTGCTCGGTCTTGAAGGGCGATGAGATAGGTAGGTTCCGTAAATTCGGGGTTAATAAACGTTGTAGTCACCCCTTCATGATCAGGACCCGCGCGGCACGTAGAGAGTGGAGCCGGAGATGCTGAGGTTTACCTTGGTTTCAGTTGCCCTTTGGGCATCCGTTGGCCCAGCCTCTAAGCCCCTCTTGCAGAAATAATGGAGCGGGAAGGACCTGGACGATTAGGCAGGGTGATGATCTTGGGGGTTTAAAGTCACTAAGAGCAAAAGACGCCTCAGAGCGGAAGACGAGGGGAGTCGGCGCGGCTGGCTGAACCAGGGGGGGGGCACTGCTGAACGGAAACTCGACGGTGTCGGGGCCTTGAGACTTGCAGTTTTTTCAGTACCCGCGTAAGCCTGAATAGCGTCTAGTAAAATCCACTTTCCACAGACTAGTCACTCGGGCATTGCCATTTGCCCGCCGGGGAGAAACAATTGAATATTATACATATTAAATGTTTTTATCAATTTTTTGTCACAACCTTCCGTGAAGAAACGGCTCAGTCTGGGTCCTGAATGTCGCTGACGTTACCAATGGAACTAGTAGTGCCACTGAATTTCCCCAAATCACGAAAATAGTTAAGGAATTTTGAGTCGATCCTTCCTACTTTTAGTTTCATTCTGTTTTAGATAAATTGAAAATAAGCTGAGTGTGTTGGCGTGGATCTGTAATCCCAGCCCCAGGGGTCGGGAGGCTGAGTCGGGATGATGCCATGAGTTCGAGGCCAGCCTCAGCTACATAATGAACTCCAGGCCAAGCTGAACTAGGTAGCAAGACCCTGTCTCCAAAAAAATAAAAGAAAGTGGGGCTGGGGATTTACCTCAGCGGCACAGCACCTGCCTGGCAAGCATGAGGTCGTGAGTTCGATTCCCGGTATCAGAAAAAAAAATAAAAATAAAAGAAAGTAAGACAGATGAAAAAATGGAATTTACATCAGCCGTACATAGCACAACTACAGTGGATGCAGAAAATACTGTTGTGGTGAAAACGACATTCATGTTCCCTTTAGATATTTTGAGAAAACAAACTTGGAAATGCCTGATAATAGATAAATCTTTCTGCTGAGAAAAATAGTGATAGCCCCAGAAGTCCAATTGAATCCAACATATTTTTTGCTGTTCTGGTAGATGTCACTTTTTATGTGTGTAGTTGGTATAACTGTATGACCAAAAAAATGACAAAAGGTTGCACTGATGATGTTTAAGTCCATAGCTTTTGAATGAGATGTGCAAGGAAATATTAGGTGTCAAAAAGCCAAGCCTACAGCAAAAACAGCTTTGGGAAAACAAAAACCAAAGACTGCACCACTGCTTTCAGAGAATACACTTCATCTGTAAAAACAGTGTAGGTAATTCAACCTGTAAATTCATATAAAAACATGACTTTTTTTTTTTTTTTTGTCTTTTTGAGATAGGGTCTCATGATGCAGTTCAGGTTGGCCTTGAGCTCACTTTGTAACCCAGGCTGGTCTCAAACTCGCAATGGTCCTCCTGCCTCAGCCTCCTGAGTGCTGGGATTACAGGTGTAGGCCACCATGCCTGGGTAACATGACTCATTTCAATGGGTTTTTTTGAGACAGAGTCTCACTGTGTAGCTCAGGCTAGCCTTGAACTCACTATGTAGTCCAGGTGGGCCTAGAATTCATGGCAATCCTCCTGCCTCAGCCTCCCAAGTGCTGGGATTAGATGTGTACCACCATGCCCAGTTTGAAAGTATTTTTAACACTATGAATTCATGCTTTCGCCTTTCATGTTTCTTGACATCATATTTTCTATTATATAGATATACTAAATGTAAGATAGATAGATAGATGGATAGATAAATAGATTGATAGATAGATAGATATGAATGGATTATCAGGCTGTCCCACTTGTGCCAGCTCACTTGGTGTAGTATTCCATGCATCAGTGATATGATGAACTTCCCATGAAGTGAATGGAATTAGAGGACAAAGATTTTAACTGAAACATGTCTAATTTATTATCTTGCCAGATAGTCCAAATTTTATATGTCATGCAATACAGTGAAGCGCCTTAAAATTCAGCATGAGCATGAATCTAAACTGATAGCTCACCTGATAGAATAATGCTGATGTTCTCTGGCAACATGCAAGCTGATATTCACACTGGGGAAAATATAAACATATATTCTTGGGCTGGGGATTTAGCTCAGTGGCAAAAAGCGCCTGCCTGGCAAGCACAAGGTCATGAGTTCGGTTCCTGGTACCGGAGAAAAACCAAAAATAAATAAATAAATAAACATATATTCTTTTACATTGCTGCTACTTTCTTCAGGATAAGAACCACATGACTCAAATGACAATTTAAATTAATTCATAGGGGCTGGGGATGTAGCTCAGTGGCACAAGTGCCTGCCTGGCAAGTGCAAGGTCCTGAGTTTGATTCCCTGTATCAAAATAATTAATTAATTAATTAATTAATATCTGGAGCTAAGTCCAAATAATGGTGGGAATTATTATGATTTTTGAGACAGGGTCTCCCTGTGTAGTGCACACTAGCCTTGAACCCACTGTGTACCCCAGGCTGGCCTCAAACTCATGGCGATCCTCCTGCCTCAGCCTCTAGAGTGCTGGCATTAAAGCATGCCCTCTAGGCCATGCCTAGCTAACTGTGGGAATTATGATTTCAGAATAGAACGTAAATGGCATACTCTTTTAATGTTAAATAAGTAATGCAATAAAAACCTAGAAGAAAGAAAAGGAGAGAAAGTTAATCTTTTTCATAGAGAAGAGTCCACCAGGGCTTGTATATGACTGATACATGCAGCTGAAAGAAGCAGCTCGATTTCCTGGTCACCTTCATTATCTTTTATTAACTGTGGAGGTGCATTGCTCATAACCAAGGTACATTCAGTGGAAATTCAGCAAGTCTATTGCCTTTTCCATTTCCTCTCTTTCCTACTGTTAAGTCCAGGTCAAACTAAATTTATCACCCCTGCAAAAGCGTTTATTATAGGACTCTTTTTTATAAAACTTCTCGAGTTTGTCAGGGTTCCCCATTAATGTGGGGCAATGTTAGCACACTATCAAGGACGTGTATTTCTACCTGATGTGATGATTATTTTAACTTTTTTGTGCTTTAGTGTATTTCTGATCTTTTGAACCTAATGAGGATTTGGCATTGTGATTGAAAAAATTTATGCATTATGACTAATGCATAGGAAGTCTGACTTTAAAATGTTTCAGCCAATTGAAAGATACTTTAATAGAAAAAGGGATTCAAGGAATTATGGTTTAAACTCTGGGCACCATTTCAGCTAATGATGTTTGGTAGTAAAATAAAAAGTAGCTAAGGAAAACCAGTACTAGATTATATCCTTGGGAAACAGGTTGTAGGGATATAGGGCCAGGATATAGGGATATAGGACCTGGCAGGCTTGAGGTCCTGAGTTTGATCGCCGATGCTGAAAAAGCAAGCATACAAAACAACTGGCCTTAGAAGTTTGGCGTGTGGATTTGTAAGGTGAGCCCAGGGCCTCACGTGTGCTAGGCACTTGTTCCACAGCTAAGCTCTACAGGAGCCCTGAGGTTGGCGCAGGCACATACAGGCAGAGCGGGAATGTTTGCATTTCCTAGACGCTGGGTGACCTGCACTGTTTTATAATCAATGTCTTCTGTGTCCTGACAGCCACACAGCTTGCAAGGAGGCCTCTTCTCACGTCAGTCTGTCACAGGCCTGGGTGCCACGGAACCTGGACACGTGGAGGGCAGTGACCGGGACGTCTCCACGCAGCTAAAAGTAGAAGAAGAAACCATCGCTTCCCGGCAAGAAAAAAGGGAAGAGAGGGCGAACTCTGATCATACTTTCTGTTTTTGAAGAAAAAGAGACAGAGACAGTTTTAAATACAATTATATGAAATACTGGTGGAGTATTGAGACATCTACTGAGGAGTTATAAATAAGAGTATGTTTTCAGAAATGTGCAAGCTATTACCTGGAACACCAGAACTGGTATACAACTTTTAGGGTATTACCCCATAATTACAAATACAATTTTATTGGATGTGTACTTATCAGGGCTTTTAGGGTTTGGGGGTCGGGGGGTTGTTTTCCAAAACAGAGCATGAATCATTCAAAAATTTGGAATTGAATATTTAAAATGTAATACGTTTCCTGGGATTCTTGACTCTGCATAATTTTGTCTTAGTTTTGCTCATTCTAAAGGGACTTTGAAAATCGTCACTTAAGTTATCTATTAATGTTGTTTTAAAATCTTTCAGAAATAATTGCTCATTGAAGCCTCTGTAGCCATGGCTAGTTCTGACGTGAAACCCAAATCAATAAGTCGTGCCAAAAAATGGTCAGAAGAGATAGAAAATCTGTACAGATTTCAACAAGCAGGATATCGTGACGAAATTGAGTATAAACAAGTGAAACAAGTCTCCATGGTAAGATTTGTGCCGCTACCCACTGGAACACACAGTGAGCTTGTTAGACGGTAAAATCCATTTTTAAAGACAAAGAGCCAAGCAATAACTGAAGAAGATCCTACTGCAGACATTTTATGGAGGAGGAGGCTAGGGCCCAAGAAGATGCTTTGTCAGGCAGATTGGGAAAACCGGCGGCCCCGCAGCTGGGGAGTTTGGAACTTTTTTATCCAGCACCTGTGTTCTGCTAAGTGAGTTTTTTACAGTAGGTGGACCCTAAAATAATCATTTTCCCCCACTCAGGAAACCTGTTATCTGACACCCAGTGTGTTGCATAACTGTTACTTCCCTCCTGTGTATTTCAACTGTAAAGTAGGGGTTAATTTACATTCTCAGTGGAGATTATATGTAATAGAAATTGTTAAAGAACATCTGACTTTGGTTGTACTTTCCAGGCTTTCCTGAGAGCAGACAGAGCTTTACAAAGATTAGACCAAAATGTAGACCATGCACCCGCACAGAATTTCTTTTTTAATTCATGTATTCTACTAGCTATTAAGAAATACAGTATTCAATACTATTGTAGAATCTGATGTAATATTCATAAATATACATAATACTTAGATCCAGAGTTACAGCAAAGTTTTTTGTTTTTATTTTTGTTTTGTTTTGTTTTGTATCAGGAATTGATCTCAGGATCTTGCACTTGCCAGGCAGGCACTTGTGCTGCTGAGCTATATCCCCAGCGTTACAGAAAAGTATTCTTATCTTTTAAAAAAATTTTTTTTAACTTTTAATTCACCATTTTTCAGAGAATAATTAATGTGTGGATTTTGCAGATCTTTTTGGTCTCTACTCTGAATACTTCCTTAAAAAGTATATAGGAAAAAAATGGAAGAACTACAGAACTAAAATGTAAACCAGACATGGTGGCTCATGCCTGTAATCCCAGCACTCACGAGGCTGAGGCAGGAGGATCACCAAGAGTTTGAGGCCAGCCTGGGCTATAGAGTGACTTCAAGGCCAGCCTAAACTATACAGTGAGACCCTGTATCAAAAAGTAAATTAAGGGCCAGGGATATAGCTCAGTGGCATAAGTGCCTGCCTGGCAAGCCTGAGGTCATGAGTGTGATTCCTGGTACAAAAAAAAATTTAAAAAGAGGAGTATTAGAACTAAAATGTAGCAGGCTTTTTTTGTTTGTTTGTTTTTTTCTCCGGTTCCGGGAATTGAACTCATGATGTCACGCTTGCCAGGCAGGCGCCGTGCTGCTGAGCTAAATCCCCAGCCCCTGTAACAGGCTTTTTAATAGACATTAATTTAGCAGATAGTATTCAGCTGGTGAGAAAGAGAGTTAAAAATGCTGATCAAATGAAGGTTTGATTACTGTGACTTTTATATATCTGTCTTTTGATGTCTATTACATTTTACTCTGGTCTTATTACCAAAAGACTGTTTTCATTCCCTTACCATCTATGGATTTGGAATAGGGAAAACATAAGCATTATCACTTCAGTGTTGTTCAAAAATAAGCTCCCTACCTTGCCTTAGGGTCGGGGTGCCAGGGCTGGGTGTAGCTCAGTGGTGGAGCGCTTGCTTAGCAAGTGTAAGGCCCTGGGGTTGGTGCCCAACACTGAAAAAATAAAAGAGAGGCTTGGAGTGCTCCGAAAGACACACAGGACCCGGGGTTGTGTGGGAAGTGTGAGTCATGCGTCGTTCCTGCAGCTGCACCGCAATACCAATAATGCTATTGGGATGAAATCAGATAGAAGAAGGCAAAGAACATCTTTTACGAGGAAGTTCCAAAGAGCAAATGCTTTGTGTTTAATTCAGTCTATATTTATTGGGTAGTTGCCGCACACAGATTTCTGTACCAAATGTACTAGGAGACCCAGACATAGGTAAAAGACTGACAGAGCTCCGGAAACGCCAGGAGCCCCGGGAAGCACGCAGGGTTTGCATCTCCCAGCCCTGAGCGTGGTTCTCAAGGCCAGCTGGCCTGCGTTTCCCCCACCTTACGGTGCCTGCCGGAGAGAACTGTTACAGGAGTTAAACCTGTGTCTAAAGTGCCTGACATCGCAGTGCTCCCTGTAACTTGTTGAATGAATACAGAGAAAATGTTGAACAATTAACTGGCATTAATGCATGATCGCTTTTATTATTCTCGTTCTCTTGGAGGAGAAACTAGGTGGTAACAGGAACAATGCGGTCGTATTCAAGTCCAAGTATGTGTACCTTCAGGAAAAACAGCACAGGGATTTAGAGAAAGGAAAAGTGACTCCTTTGTGGGGACCATCCTCAGGAAAGGCTGCAGGCGCCCAGTGGCCTTTGCAGAGCACCTGGGAAGATGGATAGGGTGGCAACTGAAGACTTGCCCTGGGGACGTCCCCACCTGTGTGCAGGCGGCTAGGGTCCGAGTGGAGTCCTTTTCCTCCCCTGAAGCGCACACCGGCCCGCGTGCTGACTTCCCCGCAGGAGCAGAAGGCAGCTACGCTCACGGATTGCATCACTGCATTCTGCCCGGAAGGCCGGCCCACGTCAAATGGGGAGGATCAAGGGCAAAGCCAAGAAAAAGAGAACTCGGAGATGTTACTTCCCTCCTGTTTAAAAAGTATCTAGAGGCCAATGAGCAGAAGCCCAGCTACCTGTGTTGAGGATCTTGCCCCTGGGGCTCTGAGTGCTCCTAAGCGGTCCCGGGCGCTGTGTCTTCCTACGGTGAGGTGCTCTTCAGGACCCTAGCAGGGGAACAAGGCCCACGGTGGCGTCTGGAGCTTGTCACCTCCTCCCGATGATGATCCAAGCCAGGGTGGAGAAGCGGCTGTGTAGTTAAGTCTCAGAGGGCCTGCCACGGTTCATCAGATATACAGCTGTCTATTTTTACTAATTCATAATTAGACGAGACAACAGAAAAAATACATTATAGGAAATAAAAGGGCTGACCTGGTGTCTGGAGCTTTTCTTCCAGCTGAGAGCTCTGTGTCTGTAAGCAGGGAACGGGAAAGGGAAGGGCTGAGGGTGCTGAAGAGCCAGCTTTGATTCTCTACAGCCTGGAGAATGGGTTTGGAGGGTGATAGAGCCCCTCTCGCAAAGTCTAGAAGGCACACGTTTAACAATAGGAACACATTAGCCCGATCTAGAAGGCATAACATTGGATTTTGAGAGAAAAGGGAGAAAAATGTTCAAACGAGATCAGTCAGCAAACCAATATCAGCACAGCAGAGGGAACAGTGAAGGAAAGAACAGCTTGCCGGGGACTGCATTCGGCACCTCAGATTTTACAGTAAATTCAACCGCAGCCGAGGCGTGCTGGCATACACCTACAGTCTCAGCTACGTGGGAGCTTAACCAAGACCTTGTTTCAAAATAAGCAGTAAAATGGGCTAGGGATGTAGCTGAGCGAGAGAGGGGTCGTAGCTGGGAGAGAGGGTGCACACAGCCTGGATTCAGTCCCCACGACCACAAAAAAAAGGGACTTCAAGGTAGATTTGAAATTTAAACTGAGCCGGGCGTGGTGGCTCATGCCTGTAATCCCAGCACTCGGGAGGCTGAGGCAGGAGGATCATCGCGAGTTCAAGACCAGCCTGGGCTGCAAAGTGAGCTCAAGGCCAGCCTGAGCTGCATAACTAGACCCTGTCTCAAAAAGACCAAAAAAAAAAAAAAAAAAAAAAATTTAAGCTGAGGGAAATACACATCGCCTTTCTGCCTCTAGCAATTTCTTTTTTTTCTTTTCTTTTGGGGCGTGCATTGAGATGGGTCTCCCTTGAGCTGGGACAATGACAGGTGTGGCCACCACGCCAGGCCAAGACATTTCAAACCTACTTGTTTAAGTCCCTAGCTGACATCCAGAGCAGGCAGCCCGAGTTTCCTCCTGGGGTAGACATTTAGAAGTTACAATGTTTGAAACCGTATACAAACATAAGAAGGATGAAGTTTAGCTTGCTTCAGATGTCTCCATGATCATGGAAGTGCTGTAGGCATTTAAATCCAGAAAGTGGGCTGTACAGAGAAAAGAGCTAAATTAGTTGTTCTGTCACAGTATATAAAATGGCCATGAGCCAAGCGTGGTGGTGCAAACCTGCCCTCCCAGTACTTGGCAGGCTGAGGCAGGAGGATCGGTGTGAGTTTGAGGCCAACCTGAGCTACACAGTAAGACCCTGTCTCAAAAAAAAGAAAACAAAAAGTAGCAACACAAGTTGTGTTTTGTGTGTATGATACTCTCGAGTTAGAGCACTTATAAATTTAAGTGTATAATGGGGGGGCAGCAAGTTGTACTTTTAACTATTTGATAGACGTGAGATAAAATAAAACTGGCATTACAACATTTCTATTCTGGTGTTTGCCGGTGCAGGTAGATCGCTGGCCGGAGACGGGCTATGTGAAGAAACTGCAGAGGCGGGACAATACCTTCTATTACTACAACAAGCAGAGGGAGTGTGATGACAAGGAGGTCCACAAAGTGAAAATCTACGCTTACTAACCTTTCTCCTTCACAGCACCTGGAAGTTCTATCTTGAGAATTCACTCTTTCCACTCTGTATCATGGAAATGTTTGTCATTTTACGAAGATGATTCAAAATGCAATCTTCAGTGTAATGTTTCGCAATCCAGAAACCATGGAACTTGGTATCTCTGAATCATCCCGTCATCCTGCCCTGTTCTAAAGTATAATTGCAGAAGTATTAAAAGTTATAACCTTCTTGATCCTGCTTTTCACTTTATTTTTTTTTCCCCAGAGCTGGGGATCAAACCTCTTCCTTTCACACATGCTCATCAAGCCTTCTACCACTGTTCTACCTCCCCATCTCTTTTTTATTTTTTACTTTGAGGCATAGTCTCACTAAGCTTCCCGGGCTGGCCTCGAACTTGCGCTCCTGCTGCCCCAGCCTCCTGCGTAGCTGGGATTGTAGTGTGCACCAACACACCTGGCTCTTTAGCTGTGGTAGAGCATCACATATGGGGGGAACCATTCCAACAGCCGGGCTAGTGATACATCTTCCTATAGCAGATTAGCACCCCACCCAATCCCTGTCCTCGCCTTTAACTCTTTCCTAGATCATCATGTTCAACTGCTAGATCTGCATTTTGTGATACGAGAGCTTTTCTTCCTCTAGAGTCCTTTGTCTCTGGCTGGGAAGACTGCTCATGCCAAGAATAATGGCCACTGAGGGGCAGCCCTCACCATGCCTTCACCGTGGAATGCGTGGCCTCCTGCTCCAACACCCTGCTAGCTCAGGAGTGGGTCTGAGGCATGTGTTTCACATTGGCTCCCAGTGGGTCCCCAGTAAGACTGAGACTTCAGTCACTCCTGTAGGATCGTGACCAAGTTTTGGGGTGCTGGAGTCTCCTTCTGGAGGTAGTTTCCAGGTTCTTTCCATCCACACAAAGACTTAGTCAAGACAAGCACAAAGGGTAGCAAATTTTTATGAACGGCACGAAAAGTGTTATAGCTGGTATCTAGATGTCCCCACAAAGCCTCATGTGGTCATAGTTGGGCCTTTGTGGATATGGGGTGTGTGCTGCTGAGATCAAGAAGGTGAGGCTGAGATTGATTCACAGTGTGATGCTAGGATTAAAGGTGTCTGTTACCCACCCTTAGGGCAGGTAGCCTGCATAAAATATAAGAGACTGAAAGAGTATGACTAGTTTCTTGCTTGTAGCTTGCTGCCGTGCTGACTTCTGCCCTCTGCCTTTTGCCTGGAATGAACTATTTCTCCTCTGTTGTGTCCCTTTGCCATGCCACCCTGCTTTGGAGCCAGCTAGCTGTGAAGTGAAACCTCTACACACTGTAGGCAAATAAACCTTTCCTCCTTTAACTTTGGGTGTTGGGCATTTTGTCTCAGCAACAAGAAAAGACCAAAAAAAACCAGGGTCTACAGAGCAAGTTTGGGCCAAGTACAAAAAGAAGCACACCCTACAGGGCGAGAGTTGCCCATATGCAAAAGAGAACACAATGGCAAAAACACACCTGTTGTTTTGTGTCATCCTCCCCTCAGCTGATGTCAGATCTAGGCCATCCTACTGAAAACCTGCTCCAGTTCTCGAAGTCCACATACAGGGCTTTGGGAACAGCTCTCTGCATCCGTCCTGGTGTTTCATAATTAACAAGTCACACCTATGTCCCCAGTCAGCTTTACCACACCCTAACCTCCTGCCTCATTTCCCCTTGAGAGACAGAAACTCCTATAATTAATTCCGTATGGGCTGCTGAGGGAGTGGAGGTTTCTCTCTTCTACAGCTGCTTCCAGCTGGAAGGTGCTGCAGACCCAGCCTACTGGGGATTATGTGTGCTCCAACCACTTTGGCTGGGTTGAAGAGAAAAACGGATAGAAGACAATGAGCAAAGAATCAGTGACTACAGATCTATCTGTTCAGTGGGCAAAAGAAAGCAACTTTACTATTAGTTGAGGGTATAGAACCCAAATATGAGGAGCAGGCCAGATTTCCACACTGCTTGTGGAGGACCAAGTCTGGCAAATAGGAAGGTTGACAGGCTGAGAGCCAGAGCCTTAGCAAGATCACCCACATAATGGATCTAAAAACAGAAGCCTCAATACAGGTATGCATTTAAGCTGTAGTGGATTAGGTGTCATTAGTGACCCTACTTACCTGACCTGGATCAGTCCTGGAGCCTTGCTTTGTGAAGAGGAGCCTCAGGAATAGCTTTCTTCCTAGTCCTATGAAAAGTCTAGTGAGCATTTCCATGTAGGGAAATGCTACAGCTTGTCGCTGCATCTCTTGAGGAAGAACCAGAATGGCTCTTCAGGAACTGGGAACGAGGCTAAGGTCTTGAGGGGCTGTAGGGCTGCCCTTCTTGCCTCCATATCTGCATTTTGATTTTGCAAGGAGACTTTAGACATGGCTCTTTGGGTTCTCTTGCAATGGATGACAGCAACCTGCTTGGGAAGATGGACTGTCTCTAAGAGTTGAAGAATTTTGTGTTTGTGCTTTATAGATGATTGTTTATTAGTCAACAAGCTCCTCCTTCTCAGACTGCATGGCCATGTGCCACCAGAAAGGCATATTTGGAGTCTGTATAAATGTATAACTTCTTCTGTTTTTCTAATACCAGAGCTTAAGTCAGCTAGTAGCTGTGCCTTTTGAGCAGAGATCCCAGAAAGAAGTTAGCCTCACTGACCTGCTATGAACTGACAATTGTCAGAGGTCTGGTAGATCACAAGAGTGCTCACAAGAATGGCTAATTTCTGGGCCTGCAGGCCTCAGAGAAGCAGGATTAGGAATAGTGCAAATTTTATGATAACCTCAGGAGTGTCTAAGAGCATGGCCTAATACTTGGCAAGCTATTCCCCTGTTAATCCCAGTAACATTTGGTTTCAAGAATCACTCTGACCTGAAGGGGAGTCAGGGCTTCTAGTCTGTGTCCTAAAGTTAATTTAGCAGCTTCTTCTATAGCTGCTATTGTCCTCAAGCAGGACAGCCACCCAGCACCCACTCCATCTAACTTTTTCAAAAGTGTGCCACCGGGCAGAATTCTTCCCTTAGCCTCTTGGTCAAGACACTCAAAGCAATCCCTCTCTTTTATATGTAGAGGAAGAAAGGTTTTCTTTCTTTGTTTTTCTTTGAAGGGTTTTCTTAAATAGGAATACACCATGCAGCAGGATCTACCTGTTGGCTAATTTGGTCAAGGAGACCTGGTACAGTCCCAGCAGGTAAAATCCATTTTGGGCTTTGTCAGAATTTGGGATTTGCCCTCAATTTTGCTAGTGAACCTCTTCCTAGTAAGGGAGGAGGACACCGTAGAACAAGTAGAAGCTCATGATTAAACATTTGGTCTTCAATGTCAATGTGACACATCAGAATAAGAGTAAAGAATCTCCAGTAGAGGTCTCATTGACCCCAACTATGGCTGTAGATCTAGAGGAGGGTTTTCTAGAGAAATAAGTCAAAACAGAATGAAATGGGCTGAGGATTTAGCTCAGCAGCACAGCATCTGCCTGGCAAGTACGAGGTCATGAGTTCAATTTCCAGTACCAGAAAAAAAAAACAGAATGAAATAATTGAATTGACTCGTCCATGATGTCCAGGGTTACCTAGGGTTTCTCATAGGAGATGGTGATGTCTGAGGACAGGGGTTTTATAGACGAGATCGGGAGCGTTCAGGGTAGTATGGCCATAGATGACAGGGGTACTATAGTTTCCCAGAGTGGGGAATGAGAGTTTGCATCTTTATAAATCTATAAGTAGCTAACTATATCTTATTATGGCTGAATACAGCTTTCTGATAGAAAGTCCCATGTGCTGCTCAGAAGAATGTGTATTCTGTTGTTGGGAGGAACACTCTTACATATCTACGAAGCCCGTTTGTTAAAGTTTCTCTCTGCAGTCTTCCCATGGGCTTCCATTCTCCTTTCAGCTCCTTCCTGGGTCCCAGGGACCTAGTTATCACCTTGTTTTCTTCCTCACATTGCTATATTCCAGTGTCTGGACACTAAATCTCAGTGAGGCTCTTTCTCTGCTGCTCACCACTCTGCCATCTTCCCAGAAGTCTGCTCTCCTTGACTTAAGCATTTGTGTTGAGAAGTCTGCTGTGATTCTTATGGACTTTTCTTTATAAGTGATGTGTTTCTTTCTTTCTAATATTCTGTTTTGTGTTGAATTTCTGAAATCTTGAGTACTATACATCTTCCTGTGGATTTTTGTCTGTTTGTTTGTTTTTGTTTTCTGGTACCAGGAATCGAACTCACAACCTTGCCCTTGCCAGGCAGGCTCTGTGCTGCTGAGCTAAATTCCCAGCCCCCATGTGGATTTTTTTTCTGATCATGTCTAATTGGGGTTCTATATGTATCACTTATTTGTATGTGAAATTCTTTTCTCATGCTTAAGACTGTTCTGCCTACAGTGGTCCATGTGGCTTCTGCCAGCTTAAACTCAGCTGGGAAGTCAGGCATGGTGGTGTACACCTGCTATTCCAGCACTCAGGAGGCTAAGGCAGGAGGAACACTATGGGTTCAAGGCCAACCTGGACTACACAGTGAGTTCAAGGCTAGCCTGATCTACATAGTGAGACTCTGTCAAAAACAAAAACAAAAGCAAAAACAAAAAACTCAGCTGGGAGCTACTAGATGAAGCCAGCAGTTGATGTGAGTTCTGATCTCAGCTGGCCTTTCTCCAAAATAGCTCTTGGCCAATCTCCCTCTCTTCCAGGATGTCTGAATCAGAGCAGCGCGCCAGCCAGTGCACTCTGCTTTGTCCATTGCTTTAATTCCATTGCTATGTTTCTCTATGGAGACCTTCGGGGTTGCTAGTAGTCAATGTGCATCTGCAAGTTCGAGCCACCCTTCCTCTGCAGTGAGTCCAGACTTAGGGAGACGGTGCACCTGCCATCTGATTCTTGGTTGAAGTTTAATGCTATTACTTCTGGGGAAAGGTTCTTTATGTGTTTTGTGTTGTCTTCTGATTTTTATTGATTCCAGCTCATCTTATATCATTCTTTTTTGTATCATCTAGTCTCTGTGGGTTTCATTTTTATGGCCCCTTGCTATTTTAGTGTTTTGTTTTGTTTTGTTTTGTTTGTACCAGGAATCGAATTCAGGACCTTGCGTTTGCCAGGCAGGCACTTGTGCTGCTGAGCTATATCCCCAGCCCTAGCCCCTTGCTATTTTTAAGCAGTCTTTCATTTGATGACCATGAGCAACAACCCTGTCTTCAAGATCTGATATTCTATCTTCATAGAACATGCTTAA